GTGACTGACCTATCCATTTCACAGAGCTATAGAGTAAGTGGGACTGTTCTGTGCCTTGCATGTAAGAAAAGTTTGCTATAAAAAAGTTGATGCTTGGGACTTAAAGGTTTCTCTTTAATTTAGCGATAGAGGATGGATATGGTCGTGATCGTGACTATTCAGATCATCCAAGTGGAGGTTTCCTACAGAGATTCATATGAGAGTTATGGTAGAGATACTGGTTAAGGTGTTGAGTATCACCAGCTTGAGTTTTAGGTTCGTGAGCCAGTTTTTAGGCTGCGTGGGTGCTGCTTTTTAAAGGGATGTTTGCGTGCTTTAAAAGGGAGTAACTTTATCAGCTGGCTTTTCCTAGTTTTGGTTGACGGGCTTTTTTTGTTTTTGCTACGAGTTTTTTCTTGTGAAGGCTGTTTTGCTTGCTTTTGGAGGGATTTGTTGCTTAAATTTGGCCAGCCTTATGTGCTTTTTCCCAACAGGGTAACTCACGTAGTGCTCCACCTACACGAGGGCCCCCGCCATCTTATGGTGGAAGCAGTCGCTATGATGATTACAGCAGCTCACGTGACGGATATGGTGGAAGTCGAGACAGTTACTCAAGCAACCGAAGTGATCTCTACTCAAGTGGTCGTGATCGGGTTGGCAGACAAGACAGAGGGCTTCCCCCTTCTATGGAAAGGGGGTACCCTCCTCCACGTGATTCCTACAGCAGTTCAAGCCGCGGAGCACCAAGAGGTGGTGGCCGTGGAGGAAGCCGATCTGATAGAGGGGGAGGCAGAAGCAGATACTAGAAACAAACAAAACTTTGGACCAAAATCCCAGTTCAAAGAAACAAAAAGTGGAAACTATTCTGTCATAACTACCCAAGGACTACTAAAAGGAAAAATTGTGTTACATTTTTTAAATTCCCTGTTAAGTTTCCCTCCATAATTTTTATGTTCTTGTGAGGCAAAAAGTAAAACATGTTTAATTTTATTTGACTTTATGACATTGCTTTTCAACAAGCAAATGTTAAATGTGTTAAGACTTGTACTAGTGTTGCAACTTTCCAAGTAAAAGTATCCCTAAAGGCCACTTCCTATCTTGATTTTTCCCAGTAAATGAGGCAAGCAATTCTAAGATCTTCCACAAAACATCTAGCCATCTAAAATGGAGAGATGAATCATTCTACCTATACAAACAAACTAGCTACTAGAGGGTGGTTGGGGTATGCTACTTATAAGATTTCAGGGTGTCTTCCAACTGAAATCTCAATGTTCTCAGTATGAAAAACCTGAAATCACATGCCTGTGTAAGGAAAGTGCTATTCACCCAGTAAACCCAAAAAAGCAAATGGATAATGCTGGCCATTTTGCCTTTCTCACATTTCCTTGGGAATCTGCAAGAACCTCCCCTTTCCCCTCCCCCAGTAAGACCATTTAAGTGTGTGTTAAACAACTACAGAATACTAAATAAAAAGTTTGGCCAAAACCAACCATGAAGCTGCAAAGGTGCTTGCTCTTACTGTTTCAAATTTTTGCAACTCTGTAGTGTCTCACTTTTAAAGGAACAGCTTGATTGCAAAGGAGAAAATAGATAAGCAATGAAGTTATCTCCAACTTCCTAAAGGCTTATGACTTCTAAAAAGTGAATCTATCAGCATTCCACATCAGATTTAAAGCATCAAATGCCTGTGAAACAGCAAAGATGGTAAGCAAAGCAAACTAGTTTTTCCGTCTAAGTCGAAATTGAACACTTACCTTCCTCATAGTACAGTGAAACATACTGTACCTCAAGGCAATGGAAATGCCTTCTAGATTAAAAAAACTTTTGGAGAAAAGAAATATTCAATAGCATATTAGAAGTCTTCCAAATTCAACACTTGGATTTTTTTTTTTTTTTTAAGCATGTGTGACACTTAAAGGCTTTATTAATAAAGCTGTTGTTTACCAATGGCGATCTGGGGCTTGGGAGGGGGTATTTTTTTCAAAGTCCATTTTTGATGAAGACCTTTAAACATGCTTCATATGTTTTAACATTTTTTTCAAATTAGTCTTTTAGTCAATATAGGAAATGGCTTAAGTTTGGGGTCCCCCTTTTTACCCCTGTAAGCCATTGCAAACTTGACATTTAGTTGGATGCCTGACTTGTTTTTAGTTCTATGAAACTACACTGTATGGAGAAAATCTATTGCAAGTGGTCTTTAAAAAGCAAAACCTGAGGCAGCATGACCCAGGTCCAGCCATGAAGTTGAAAAAGATGCTCTTGAATATAGTAAACTTGAAGACCTCCAACTAAAAATCCTTATACTGCACTTATTCCTTCAAATAAGTTTTGTTCGTTCAACTTATGGATTTAACGTGGCAGTGCACCATTGGAACAGAATGACAATCCATAAGCCATGCAACTTAACCATTTAAGCCATTCCAGTCCATCCCGAGCCAGTGAATCTTCCACCACTTAAGAGAAGTAGTAGAACATGAAATATATTAAGCTGCAAGTCTGAACTTGCCTTTTCTCTCTGGAAAAGAGGGCAGTAATAGGCAAGTTTTAAAGAATTTCCTTAAGAGAGATAACTAGTTTTCATTTATTTAACTTTTGCAGGTTGATGATTATGCTCATTATGGTCGTGGAGTGCTGATTGATTCACAGTAGATAAAGCTGGCAGTAAGAAATCAAATGCTAAGGTAAGTGTTGAAAGCAGTGGCCTTTGAAGGTTTAAATGCTGTGTAACTACCACTTAGTTTAGCTGTGACATTGGCAAGTTACTGTGGTCCTCATTTCATCTGTAAAAATAGTGCTTGGAATTGATGAAATTAAGTGCTTTAATGTGTAATATCTGCACATTTCATGGTGAATAGAGAGTGAGGTTACATTTTAATGAGTCTGGCTCATTCATGCGATTATTCTTAGCTACTTTTGAACCCATAAAGCTTGCTAATAGCTCTTCATATGCAAGCATTCTCAACAGGAAGTACACACATAAGAAGTTTGCTTGGCTGGGCGCCATGGCTCATGCCTTTAATCCCAGGACTTTGGGAGGCCAAGGCGGGCAGACTACGAGGTCAGGAGTTAGAAACCAGTCTGGCAAACATGGTGAAACCTCATCTCTACTTAAAAAAAAAAAAAAAAAAAAAAAAAAAAACGGAGAGTGGTGGCATTGCCTGTAATCCCAGCACTCGGGAGGCTGAGGCCAGGAGAATTGCTTGAACCCAGGAGGCAGAGGTTGCAGTGAGCCGAGATCACGCCATTGCACTCCAGCCTGGGTGACAGAGCAAGACCCTGTCTCAAGAAGAGGAGAAAAAGTTTGCTCAGTGCATTTTGTAAAAGGATATACTCTGATTGTTACTAGTTAATGCCTGCTCATTTGCGCAGCCACAATACAAATTGACTAAATGTGTAGTTAATGATGCAACTGTGACTGCAAGTTTCCTGTTTGATTAACATAATTTTGACATAATGATGACATAGTATGTAATTTTAACGTTACCAATTTTTTTTTTTTGAGACGGAGTCTTGCTCTGTTGCCCAGGCTGGAGTGCAGTGGCGCGATCTCAGCTCACTGCAAGCTCTGCCTCCTGGGTTCACGTCATTCTCCTGCCTCAGCCTCCCCAGCAGCTGGGACTACAGGTGCATGCTGCCACGCCCGGCTAATTTTTTTGTGTTTTTAGTAGAGACGCGGTTTTACCGTGTTAGGCAGGATGGTCTCGATCTCTTGACCTTGTGATCTGCCTGCCTCGCCTCCCAAAGTGCTGGGATTACAGGCGTGAGCTACCAAGTTCAGCCGCCTGTGGTTGATTTTTAAAGCTTGCGTGTTGTTTTTTTTTCCTTTCTGAGGCAGTTTTGCACTTGTTGCCCAGGCTAGAGTGCAGTGGCGTGATCTCAGCTCACTGCAATCTGCTTCCTAGGTTCAAGCGATTTTCCTGCCTCGGCCTTCCAGGTAGCTGGGATTACAGGTGCCTGCCACTGTGCCCGGCTATTTTTTTGTATTTTTAGTAGAGATGGGGTTTCACTGTTGGCCAGGCTGGTCTTGAACCCCTAACCTCAGGTGATCTGCCTGCCTCGGTCTCCCAGTGTGCTGAGATTATAGGCGTGAGTCACTGCATCTGGCTTTCTTTTTTTTTTTTTTTTTTTTTTTTTTTTTTTTTTTTTGAGATGGCTTCTCCCTGTGGCATGATCTCAACTCAGCGCCGCCCAGGTTCAAGCGATTCTCCTGCCTCTCAGATTCCCAAGTAGCTGGGACTACGGGTGTGCACCACCGTTCCCGGCTAATCTTTGTACTTTTTGTAGAGACAGGGTTTCACTATGTTGGCCAGGCTGGTCTCAAACTCCTGACTTTGAGTGATCTGCCTGTCTCAGCTTCCCAGTGTTGGGATTACAGGCGTCAGCCACTGCGCCTGCCCAGAGCTTGCTTTTTAAAGCAATTTTATTTTTAGCTAAAACAACAAAAAATACATTTAAATGATAGTTTGGGGGGAAGTACTTCACAGTAAAACAAATACTATGTAACAGGATCCCATGTGTTTTTCATTTTACAGAGTTGTTGAAGCAGAAGGCGGCTGATTGTCAATAAGTCACTACAGTTGCATAAGCAGTGCTGTCAGAATTGGTTTGGTGCAGGCAATAGATTTTGCCTTCAGGGGTTCCTGTGGATCTGAGGAAGGCATCAGTGTTGATTAACACTCATAACTAGGGAGCGAGTGGTAGTTACTTAAAGCAAGTAATTGGCCAAATGGAAAAGGGGAAGTAATTAAGGAAATTGGTAAGTGGAGGTAGTCAGGAAGTTCTTGTGGTTCTTTACATAGATTTTACAGCTTTGGCTTTCATTTTGTTTAGCTAAAGTCACGGGGACAAGTCTTCAATTTAGAACTTAAGTTGAATTATAAAAATGATGGATATAGGTGGTAGCTTTATTTAGTGAAGTGTTTGTCAGAAAGTGAAACATTTTTTGGTGGTGACTTATCCACAAACAGTTTAGTTGTAGAATAAAACTTATGATTGACATCTGGAAAGTAACCATGCTGAGATGGTAAGCACACTGGAAACATGTAGGCCACTTGGCTTTGTTTTGCTGTATTGTTTTATAAGCCTACTTTACCTCCCAGTCTTGGAAACAAGTTTTAGTTTATTGGTTTGGAGACTAGAGCCAATAGTATAATGCTCTCAAAGGAAACAGACTTGAGTTGTTAGAGGAACTAACCCAACTTCTATGATTTTTTTTTTTTTTTTTTGTCGTGTAGTTATGGCACTGTCTTGTTTGGAACATTTGCAACTGGGGATAGTACCACATTTTTAACTCTCATTTGACAACCTACTGCTAATCACAGACCCCAAGGTTAATGACCAAATTTATGTGGTTTTTGCACTTCCATAGTTGTCTCAGCCCAAACCTTCTATACTCTTATGATTACTTGGGTTACAGCTTCTGTGAGGACCTTTTGGCTCTTGAGATATCCTAAATATTTAAGGTATTTAGATATCTTTAAGATAGTATAGGATATAGAGATTGTACCAAATAGGAATATTAAGTTCAAAGCAAGGAGTATGTTAAAATGACCAGATACCTGTTTGATAAATAGTTTACTGACCTAGCAGACATGTGGAAAAAGAATCGGATCTTGATTCTTCTGGGTTTATACTGGTTGTAAAATGATACAGAAAATGTTTTCCTTGTTTAACTGGTAGTTGAACATAGAACTTGGGTATTATAGATCACTTTTCACTTTTTGGAATGTTTTGTATTGAAACTTAATAAAACTTTAACATGGCATCTTTTTTGTGGCAAGGGGCTTTTTTTTACTTTTAAGAAATTAGGGGTTTATGTTTTTAAGTGTTTTTCCCATATCCGCCTCCCCCAAACACTAGCTCCGTTGCATTGATGACACTTAATCAGTTTTGCATGGGAATGTCCAGAGTCATTGAGGCTGTTCATGTGACTAGGCCTCCCTTTTGTTTTGAGAGTAAGCTTCCGGCGGAATGTAGATAACTTCAATCCTCATTGTAAAAGTTAAGTGGAAGCACAATCACACACCTAAGAAGCAGAGGCTAAATAAACCAGGAATCAACTGTAGTGCTTTTATTTAATTCCTGCTTAACTCTTCGGGATAAACAGGTCAGCAGCTACTCAGTTGTGGCTGTGGATTCTAAATGCTTTGGGTCAAGCGAAGCATATGATGATATGTTTATGAATTTGTAGTTTTCAGTTTCTTTACCTAGTGTCCTGTATATGTCTGATTAGTTGATGTTCGTTTGCATCTAAAACTGGACATTGCATTTGGGTTATGTAGTCAGTTGAACAGAACTCATCACATGGAGAAAGATGCAGCTAAGCATTAAGATGGCAGAGAAAGCCCTAAGTATTGTCATTCTGTAAATAGCCTCAGCTCTACACCTGTTGTTTTTTGGGGGTTTATTAATGAGATGGAGTCTCGCTCTGTCCCCCGGGCTGGAGTGCAGTGGCGCCATCTCAGATCACTGCAACCTCTGTGTCCTGGGTTCAAGCGATTGTCCTACCTCAGCCTCCCAAGTAGCTGGGATTACAGGCATGTGCCACCATACCCAGCTTATTTTGTATTTTAATAGAGACAGGGTTTTCATCATGTTGGCCAGCCTGGTTTTGAACCTCCTGACCTCAAGTGATCTGCCCACCTTGGCCTCCCAAAGTGCTGGGATTACAGGTGTGAGCCACCGCGCCTAGCCAACTCTATACCTATTGTTCCAGGAAAACATTACCCATCCCATCAATACTTTATGTTGTACATGTCAATATACTTCCTGAAAAATAACTTGAACTTTTCTATCAATGAGTTCAACTTGAATCGATTTTTAAAATAGCATTTAAATCTGAAATTGTATTAAGTGTACCGTTTTATGAACTGTGAGAAATGTGTACCCTATCAAGATAATTACCATCATCTCAAAGTACTAGAGTTTTAGCCATGTGTACATCAGTAGTTCCATATTGCCAAATATGAGTGTATTATGCTTTCCCATTCGTGGAAACCTGTTTTTGGCTTTCATTCATAAAATTGCTATAAATGTTCTTATACTAGTTTTTGTTTTTGTAATTACTGAGATGACAACGGGTGCAGAATTGCTGAATCAGGATAGATGTACATTTTTGAGAGATCGCTAGGCATTTTTTCCAAAGTAATATTTTGGAAACACTTAGCCAATGATGTGTGAGTTATTAATCCATACCTCCTCAGTATCTGGTGTTAAAGTTTAGTCCTTATGGTGAATTTGTGGCTTATCCACTGAGGAATGAGTAGCACTTAAAAAAAGTATATGGTGAAATGCACTGATCTCATGTACAGTTTGATCAGTTTTGAGAAATGCTTAGCACATCAAGACACAGAACATTGCTCCAGAAAGTTGTGTGTGCCCGTTCTCAGTCAGTAGACCACCTCCCAACACCAGCAACAAACACTGACCTGGTTTCCATCATAAGATGTTTTTTGCATATTTTGATTATGTAAATTCTGTTGATGTAACTTATGTCTAGCTGCTTACAGAATGTTTTTGAGATTCATCCACATAGTTGCATGTATATTCCTTTTATTGCAGAGTAGAATTGCAGTGTATGACGTGACTATTGATGGACATCTGGGCTAGTTCCAGTTTTTGGCTGTTACAAATTCTGCTTTGAGTATTGTACGAGTCTTGGACGTAACAGTTTCGTTTGGATAAATATCTTGAGTGGAATTCATGAAGTGACAGGGTAGATAATACAGTAATCTTCAACATTGTTGAAGATTTATTGAAGGGTTCTTGGAAAATTTAATAATGAAACCAATTTTACCATAGGCTAATTAACACAAGAATTAAGTTCCTACAGCATATTTGTAGTTAGAAATGTCAGACTTTTTTTTGAGACACCATACTCTGTTGCCCAGGCTGGCGTGTAGTACCATTATGACTTACTGCAGCCTTGACCTCCCGGACTCAAGCAATCCTCCCACCTCAGCCTCCCAAGTAGCTGGGACTACAGGCGTGTGCTACCATGCCTGGCTTGGTTTTTTTGTTTTGTAGAGACGGGGAGTCTCCCTTTGTTGCCCAGGCTGGTCTTGAACTTTGCAATCCTTCCTCCGCCTCCCAAAGTGCTGAGATTACAGGTGTGTGAGCCACTGCACCTGGCACCAAATAAAAGCCAAAACACATCTAATACTAAACATTGAAATAAACGTGAGCTGTGCATGCATTTAAGAAAAGTTGAAAAGCTATATAATTATTTACCCAGTTCAATTTAAGAAAAATTGAAAAGCTATATAGTTACTCACCCAGTTGTTTCAGTTCAGAGTCTCAAGAAACTAGAACCTTTCTAGCCAGCTGAAGGTCAACATGGTAACTGATCACGGCCAGGAGACTGTCCCATTGCAGGGCATGCTCACACCCACATTCAGTCAGATTGGAACCATTCAGACTTGCAAGTATACCTTTGGGATATGGGAGGAAACCTAGTACCCAGAGAGAAAGCCCATGCATACACAGAAAGGATGTATTAAACTCCACACAGTGGTCCCAGCCAGGAGTTGATTTTTTTTTTTTTCCTCAACAAAATGATGACCAACCAAAATGACATTTTTTAAGGACCTGCTGTATGTTTAATTTTTAAGAAACTACCAATGTTTTCCCAAAGTGGTTGTACCATTTTATGCCCTCAATTATAGATCACTTTTCACTTTTTGGAATGTTTTACCCAGGCTGGAGTGCAGTGGCACGATTCGGCTCACTGCAACCTCTGCCTCCTGGATTCAAGTGATTCTCCTGCCTCAGTCTCCCAAGTAGTTGGGATTACAGGCACCTGCCACCACACCCAGCTAATTTTTGTATTTTTAGTAGAGACGAGGTTTCGCCATGTTGGCCAGTTTGGTCTCTGATATCAGGTGATCCACCCTCCTTGGCCTCCCAAAGGGCTAGGATTACAGGCATGAGCCACCGTGCATGGCCTCATTCGCAATTTGTGAGAATTCTGGTTGCTCCATAACATCCTTAACAACATGTGCTGCTGTTGATCAGCTTCATTTTAACCATTCTGGTGGGTGGAGTAGTATTGTGATTTTAATTCACATTTCCTTGATGACTAATGATGCTGAGCACTTTTTTAAAAAAGCTTTATTTGGGGATAATTTTAAATTTTCAGAAGTTGTTTTCGTATATGCACTACCCAATTTCCCCTAATTTTAATATCTTACGTTACTATGGTGTTTATCAACTGACTAATGTTGGTATGTTTCCATTAAACTCCAGACTAGACTGGGTGTGATGTCTCATGTCTGTCATCCCAGCATTTTGGGAGGCCAAGGTAGGCGATCACCTGAGCCCAGGTGAGCAGCCTGGAGAACATAGTGAGACCCAGCTCTGCAAAAGAATACAAAAATTAGCTGGGTGTGGTGTCAGGAACCTGAGATGGGAGGATGGCCTGAGCACAGGAAGTTGAGACTGCAGTGAGCCGAGATGGTGCCACTGCACTCCAGCTTGGGTGACAGTGAGACCATGTCTTAAAGAAAAAACAGACTTTAGATTTCACATATTTTCTGCTGTCTTCTCTCCATTCCAGGATCTACTCCAATGTCTCACATTGTACTTCATACTGGGACATTTTTTTTGTTTGTTTTTTTGTTTTTGAAACAGTCTTGCTCTGTCACCCAGGCTGGAGTGCAGTGGTGCAATCTCGGCTCACTATAACCTCCACCTCCTGGGTTCAAGCAATTCTCCTGCAGCCTCCTGAGTAGCTGGGATTACAGGCATCCACCACTATGCCGGGCTAATTTAATTTAATTTATTTATATAGAGACAGAGTCTCACTCTGTTGGCCCAGGCAGGAGTGCAGTGGCATGATCTCGGCTCACTGCAAGCTCTGCCTCCCAGGTTCACACCATTCTCCTGCCTCAGCCTCCCGAGCACCTGGGACTACAGGTGCCTGCCACCATGCCTGGCTAATTTTTTGTATTTTTAGTAGACACGGGGTTTCACCATGTTAGCTAGGATGGTCTAGATCTCCTGACCTCTTGATCTACCTGCCTTGGCCTCCCAAAGTGCTGGAATTACAGGCGTGAGCCACCATGTCCGGCCCATATGCCAGGCTAATTTTTGTATTTTTTCTTTTTTTTTGAGATGGAGTCTTGCTCTGTTGCCCAGGCTGGAGTGCAGTGGCATGCTCTCAGCTCACTGCAACCTCTGCGTCCTGGGTTCAAGTGATTTTCCTATCTCAGCCTATTAAGTAGCTGGGATTACAGGCGTGTACCACCACGCTCAGCTAATTTTTGTATTTTTAGTAGAGATGGGGTTTCACCATGTTGGTCAGGATGGCCTTGAACTCCTGACCTCATGATCCACCTGCCTCAGCCTCCCAAAGTGCTGGGATTACAGGCATAAGCTGCCGCGCCCGGCAATTTTTGTATTTTTAGTAGAGATGGGATTTTGCCTTGTTGGCCAGGCTAGTGGGCAGTTTCTCATGTGCTTAGTTAGCCATGTGCATAACTACTATCACAAAGTGTCTAAGACTTTTGTCCGTCTTAAAAATTCGGTTGCCTGCTTTTAAACGTTACAGAATTTCTCCATGTGTTCTGGATACAAATTGTCAGATGTGTTTTAAATTTCTCCTCCCAGTCTATCTTGCCTATTTTTTATTTTTTTCAATGAGCAAATGAAATCTAGTTTAACAAAAATGGTTCTTGGTTTCTGCGACCTAACAAAATTGCCTACTCCCTGGTCATAAATATTTTTTCCTGTCTTCCAGAAGTTTTGTAAGTGTTGTAAGTAGACAAG